GCGACCCTATTCTATTCTCGTAACGGATACCGACCCTCAAGAAGATATAGGACGCGCTTTCCTGGAAATTGATGCCAAGTCACTTGCGGAGACCGCTTCAGTTCAAATTGATGCGCCGAGAACAAGTTTCGATTCACTCAGAGGCTTCCAATTTCCTCAATCGAATACATCCATTGTGCTATCTGAGGATAATGCACATTCTACGCCCAAGAAGGAAGCTGATAAATTGGCTCCTTCACCTCAACCATTCATCTTTGGCTCACCCGCGAACGGTGTATCGAATGCACAATTTGGCAATGCGGCTGCATCCATTTTAGAGGAAATGAATAAACGTCTAGGAATTGCTACCGACTCGTCCGCTGCTGCTCGCATTGATGCAGACGGTGCCATCAACTTTGGAGAAATCACTCCAAGCCGCCAATTTGCCCTCAAGTTAGGCAATAAACGTGAGGACAATGGGAGATTTGGGAAGGCACACGAAAAAATATTTGACCAGTAAGTGGAGAACCTTATCAAATCGCATCAACAAATACTTATCAGGATGTTAGAATGAGCTCAATTGCTGATCACTATAGCGTCAAGCAGCCTGTTCCGACCATTGGAACGAAGCGCAAATCAATGGTTGCCTTTGGGGAAGAAGGAGTGCCAAAAAAGCCACAGGGAACAAAGAGAGCTGCCGATTTCGAGGCCAACAAAGATAATATTGTTCCTCCTCCACCAGCCAAACGACAAAAGGTCGATGGTGCCACACTTGCAGAAATGGAACAAAAGAACAAGTCAACTACTTCAGCCGTGGCCAAAATAGGAACGAAAGAGCAAGAGGAAATCGCTAAGAAGACGACGCGGACACAACAAAGACGCAGAAGCTCCAGGCTTAGTGCAGGAGGTCCAGCTGCACGAGCTAAAGCAGTTACAGCAGGTAAGATGGTACCCTTTCGGGGCTATGGATACTAACTAAACGCCCCTAGCCAAAGCCGCGCCGACCAGTCGCTTTGGATTGATTCGATCAGGCGCTGCTAAAGTGATGAAGAGTATCATATCCAGTGTTGCAGGAACCACTCAACCCAGTAGCTCCAAACCCACGATTGCAACAGCTTCGAAGACTCAAACAAAACCGCTTGTTAAAGGGCCACAAAAGCAATCCGCTTTGTCATCTGTTCGTCCTGTACCAATACCAGAGGAACCCTCGAGAGTCAAAGGTGACACCAAGAGCTCTAAAGCTACCTTGGCCTCTGAAGTGGCCACCCGAAAGACGCGAGAATCCAATCTAGTCCCTCGAACTAGTTCCAATGATGTCTCAGCACGTAGCTCACTGAATCCTGGCACTCGTGCAACAAAGACTACATTGGCCCCTAAGGCTCCTGTCGCTCCCAAATTTACCAGAACGTCGACGGGACCCCGACGAGGCGCGCTCCCTTCATTTGAAGACCCTAAGAAGGGTGCTCAGACCGAAGGATCCAGCTTGAATGCAGCTACAAAGAACTCCGGCTCTACCTCCAAGGTATCGAGCATTAGCAACCGCCCGTCTGGCACAATTACTCGCCCTAAGCTCACTGTTCGCAACAATCGCATTTCTGGAACGAAAACGGACGCGACTAGCAACACAAAGTCTTCATCTGCTAGGAGCAGTCTCGCTACGTCTTCCCAAACCAGAAGGGCGTCCAAACCGGCTACAAGGGAGGCTTCTGTGAGCTCCAAGGTTGAGCTACAGTCCGTTCCAGAGGCTCAAAAGCAACCTGAACAGACGAATGACAATCGTGATTTCGAGCCGAAGATTTCTCGAGACCCTTATGACTTTGACGACTCAAGGGCCTCTTCCCCATTGCCGACGCCTCCAGCATCTCTCTCCTCCAAACCTCTCCAGCGACGTAAACCTCTCGAACCAGTGCAACCTTCTGATGAGGTGCCTACTGATGGTGGCAACGGGAGTCTAGGCCGAAAGCCTCGAATCTCAAGGTCCAAAGTGATTGCCCGTGTACATGCATCACGCCAGAACCCCGGGACTAACAGTTCTATCACTTCCAAGCCTAGGAAGAGTGCAGGGGCTGGGTTGACTGCGAAAGCGAAACTCATGGGTGGAGAGACCGCCGCGAAGGCACGGGCAAGTGCTGCTGCCGATGCTGCGAAGCGTAGAATGCGCTTGAGTGAGGCTGCTGCTGCTCGACGCCGAACGATGGCAAAGGTATAAAACACATCAACA